TCAGTATATAAATGCAAAGTGTTGAGAGATTGACATCAAATGGAGACCTCATTTTAATCAATGACTAATGGTGGTGATGGTGAAGCCAGTATCTTACTAAGCCATCATTACCATCTTTATCCATCTCTGTGTCTTATTATTTCCAACTCTCACAGTATTTGTCACTCATCTGCGGAGGACTGTAAGGCAACTGAGTAGAGACTGTGTTTCTTTAGATTCTATACCATATTTATGGGCTGTTGATCAATGTCACTCAACTCACAGAACTTACTGTCTTTTTTTAACCTTTTTTTCCTTGTGAAATATAACAAATCAACAAAATCAACAAAAATGCAACAAAATCAATATTTATAAAGCAAACACTCATGTAACTGCCACCAAGAAGTAGAACATTGGTATTTATTGTCTATACTGCACCTTGGATACTGCCTTATAGCATATTTGATATTTTCTATTTGACGTGTATGTGTGTGTGTGTGTGTGTGTGTGTGTGTGTGTGTGTGTTAATCTCCCTAGCTAGACCATAAGTTCTTTGGGAACAGAAACTTGACCTTATATTTTTTTCCACATCCCACAGTGCCTAGTGCAGTGCCCTAGATATGGTAAGTGCTCAATACATTTTACAAGATTATACTCTGTGGCTCTGGGAAGACTGCTGAGGACTAATTTGGCAAACAAGAGGCCAGGAGCGATGGCTCAGGCCTGTAATCCTAGCACTCTGGGAGGCTGAGGCAGTTGGATCGTTTGAGTTCAGGAGTTCAAGAACAGCCTGAGCAAGAGCAAGACCCCGTCTCTACTGAAAAAATAGAAAGAAATTAGCTGGACAACTAAGAAAAAAAAAACATATATATATATATATATAAAATGTTAGCTGGGCATGGTGGTGCATGCCTGTAGTCCCAGCTACTCGGGAGGCTGAGGCAGGAGGATTGCTTGAGCCCAGGAGTTTGGGGTTGCTGTGAGCTAGGCTGACGCATGGCACTCTAGCCTGGGCAACAGAGTGAGACTGTCTCAAAAAAAAAAATTTGGCAAACAAGAATTGTTTGAGGAAACACAAAATTATATCATTTGTCTGATAAGTATGTACAAACCATGGTATAAGGATAACCAGTATGTCGTGATGCGGGTGGGGGGAGCTCAGCCTTCCCTTAAGTTCCAGCGCTTGCCCAATGTATAATGCCAGCCTAGGATCCTCCTAACTAGTCTCCCTGTCTCTAGTCTTATCTTCATTCGATCAGTTCTTCACTTGTGGTGACTCAAGTGATCTGCCTAAATATAGATTTCACTGTGCCATGCCACTACTCGCTAACTATGTGTGCAGTGGTTCTCCAACTATGATGTGCCTCAGAACTTCCAGGAGAACTTGGTACAAGCCCACATTTCTTCTCCCATACAGAGATTCTGATTCAGCAGATCTGAGGTGGGGTCCAGGCCTCTGCATCTGTATGAAGCACTATAGGTAATTCTGATGCAGCCGGCTTGGGTATCACCCATTAAGAAACACAGCTTCAAAGGCTCTTTATTCCCTACAGGTTGAAACTTCAGCATCCTTAGCATGGTACACAAGGCCCTTAATGGGTGGCCCCTTTTCGTGCTGACTGTATTCCGTCTATGCCACTCCACTCCCATGTCACTGTCACCGTCATTTCTTGCCTGAACTGCTACAACAGTGTCCTTACTCTCAAGTCCTAACTGCTTTAATCACCCTCTGCTCCAATCTTTTTTCTCCAGCTGGAGCCAGAGTGACCTTTCAAAATTGAAAATATGTTCATGTCACTCCCCCGCTCAAAACTCTTCAGGGATAGTTTTTCCAACTAGCTCAGGTGGCACAGCATCTGGATGTGCTGGTGCTCTTTCCAGAACACCATGAAATAATTGATATATTAAATCACAGCATATGAAATAAAACACTTCTCAAAAGAACACTTCTGCTAGCTGAAAGTATGTCTACATTATGTGTGTGCAATATAAAATCATAGCCACAAGCACAGATGTCCATGAAAAAATAAACTGTTGAATTAAGCATGATCAGTACTGGGATTGTCTGTTTCATATTCATTTGCTACTTTTTCATTCGTTTTGTTGCCTGCTAGCGAATAAGTGGGAGCATCTGTCAAAGATTTAGGAAAATTTATGGTAAAAAAAAAAAAAAGTTAGAGAAATTTCTACCCATTAACTGATTTTTCTTTTTCTTTCTTTCTTTTTTCTTTCTTTCCTTTTTTGCACTGTGAGCATCCCATTTGCTCTGGGCACAGTTCCAGGTGCTGATTGAGTAGGCATCTTGCCTGGAGAGCACAGCTCGAGAATCCCTATTCTGGAGGAAAAAGTCTAAGTAATGTGATATGACCAACCCGACCCTTCCAGATTGGTCCCACCTTATCTCCCATTCTCATTTATGGCCACTGTCCCCTCCGCCTATTATGTTCTCTGCCCTTTCTTTCTGATTATATACATGCTGTCCTCTCTGCTGTCCCCCCTCAACTGCCAGATACACCACTACTCATTTTCCAGACTCAGTCCAAATGGCTCTTCTTGGAGGTGCCTTACCTCACCTGTCTGGGTCTTTTCCTTTGCAGGGTCTTGCTCCTGACTGATTAAATCAGTTGTCACATGTGGGGCGCGGTGTCAACGCCATTACAAGATGGCGCCTGTTTCCGGCTTTGCCTAGAGCAGTAAACAAGTTCAGCGCACGCGCAATTGTCGGTTACCCTGTGGCGCAAACATGCAAATGAAGGATCCTACTATGGACCAATGCTTTGGCGGCTCGACAGCTGAGCGGCCTATCCCAGCTTAGGGGTTGTGCTTCTAGGGTATATAGCAGCCTGCGTGCTGCCGGGCTGGGTCTTCCGCATCATGTAAGTCTAAAGGGAACCCCATTAAAGCACTGTCAGAAGAACTCCAGTTGCCGCATCTTCCTTGCTGGCGAGGCGGGCGCGACAGTCACATTACTGGTTATTCATGAAGCTATCTGGCAACTGGCCTGGGAGAGTCCTAAGGTCGAGATAGGAGTTTTGTCACCCATTCTTTCTTGAGTCCTCTGGCACTTAGCATAGTCGCTGCTGATGTACAATTGGGATTCAGTGAATATTTGTGGAATGAATGTAAAATTGCAAAGGAGGCAAAGTTTACCTTCCAAATCCTTCCAGCTCCCTACATGGGTCCCCTATACTCCTTATTCGGCACTCCTTCCCCAAGCCTGGAACTGCATACCCTCATGCTGGCCATCATAGAAATCTGCCATTAATGTCATAGCGATCTGCCATTATTGTCAATGGCCCAGGCTTCAAATTTTTCCCTGAATATCCTACCAAACCTTATCAGTCCTGTGTCCCACCACACCAGGGCTACATTTCTAGATAAACCAGTGATCCTCAGACTTTAGCACAATTCAGAACCCCCTGGAGAACTTGTTAAAACACAGAATCCTGGCTCCAAGTCCTAGAGGTTCGGAATCAGTAGGTCTGGGGTGGTGCCTGAGTATTTGCATTCCTTATAACTTCCCAGATGATGCTTTTGCTGCTAGCCAAAGACCACATTTTGAGAACCACTGGAAAAAACAAATGTAAAACCAGGGGCATCAGGTGATAATGCACAAAGGAATCCTTAGTTCATCTTGACTCAGCCCCTTCACTGAATTTCTTTTTTCTTTTTTTTTTTTTTTGAGACAGAGTCTCGCTTTGTTGCCCAGGCTAGAGTGAGTGCCGTGGCATCAGCCTAGCTCACAGCAACCTCAAACTCCTGGGCTCAAGCAATCCTTCTGCCTCAGCCTCCCAAGTAGCTGGGACTACAAGCATGCGCCACCATGCCTGGCTAATTTTTTCCATATATATATATATTTATATACATAGTTGGTCAATTCATTTCTTTTCTATTTTTAGTAGAGACAGGGTCTCGCTCTTGCTCAGGCTGGTTTCGAACTCCTGACCTCAAGCAACCCGCCCGCATCGGCCTCCCAGAGTGCTAGGATTACAGGCGTGAGCCACCGCGCCAGGCCCCTACCCTGAATTTCTGATTCAATCGGCACTGTATGCATTTCGTTAATCCCAGATCATTTTCCCTCTGCTTCGCCGTGTCTCCCTCCTCCAACTTTCTGATCTTACTTTTCAGCTTGTTCTCAGGGCCTCTCCTTTTGAGACCAATGCTACTTTCCTTTTCATTCTCCTTTCACAAAGCCACAGTTGAAGGACAAAGCCCTTTCCTAAGCTCTTGGCTTCATTTCACTGCCCTCTTCTCCCTCCCTGCCCCCTTAATGCTCCCTTATCCAATATTAGCACCCTTCCCCAGCAGTCAGAGTGCCCTTTCTAAAGCTTAGCTCCAATTAGGGCCCACTTCTGTCTAGCAGGGGTAGCCACTTCCCCTCCCAGGCTGTGGAGTCTGGCTCCACAAACAACATTAGCATGCTAATGACAGTCACCTGCTTGCCCAGCTTCTTTAAGGACAGTGGAAAGACTGAAAATGCCTCATTGACATGCTTCTGCTCATTCCTTCGCTCAACAAACATTGATTGAGCACCTGCCAGACACCATGCTGGGCCCAAGGGACCCTGCAAGAACACATCAAGCATGTACACATACATGTTTATGGCAGTGACCAAGGGTCCAAGACAATGCTTCATTTAGGGGCTCTTTTGGCCTCACTCATCAATGGAGACAGACACTCAATGAAGAAACCCGCCCCCATCTGATCACTCGTGAGCCCTCTTGCCTCCTCAGCCCTCCCATCTTCTCTGTACCCAGGAAGGTGACCTGGGACCAAAGACTGGGAGGCAGCAACCAAGACAGCTTTCAAACCTCTTTGCTGAAATGAGCATTATAATTCACACCTGTCAGTTGTTGTCCCACTGATTGGGTGAGGTAAGGTATGTAAAGCCCAGAACGCAGTGAGCTAAACCTCCCTACACATTGACACACACACACATACACACCACATTGAAATACACACATTGACACACATCAACACAAACCAAAAATACACACTGTCACAGACACTGAAACACACAAACACACTGACACACACAGCAACATGCACACACACAAGCTGATTCACATATGCACACACTGGTGGACACACACACTGATAAATGCAAACGTACAAGTAAACACAGGCCAGCACACACATTGACACACAGTTGTACACACAGACACATAGCTGACACACTGACAGTACACACCAACACACAGTGACACATATACAAGTGCACACCTACTCACATCAAGACCAACACACACACTGACCCATACGCTACAGAAACTGGGAGGCCCAGGCCCCAGGAGGGACTTGCAGCGGCTGGCAGCAGGCAGGTCTTGGAGGAACCAAACGGTTGCAGGAGTCTTGAATTGCACACTTGGTCCAGGTCTTTGAGGTCCTGCGTTTTGGAGGAGGAGGCCTCCACGGGGTTCTGGTACTGTTTAGGAACAGGTGGACCTAGTGGGGTACACGGGTGGGACACCAAGGATTCTGTGCTAAGGTGCCTGCAGTGCCAGGCCGAAATGTCTGGGAGCTTCCGTCCGTGGGGAGTGCTAAGGCAGCTGGGCAGTGCTCAGGGTGCAGCATTCCCAGGGAGCCCCACACCCCGCTCCGCCTCCATCTCTGCCCTCTCAGTTCTGGCTTCCTAAAGTGCGCCTCTTGTCCTGCCGCCACCCAAATCCCAAGTCCAGATCAGATTTAGTGGCCCTTTCTGTCCACCACGCCCCAGCCCTTGCCAGGGAAGACCCGTCTCCCAGACACCAGGCCTGGAAGCAGCCGGTTACCTTTGACTCCCCATCCCCATTCGCTTGAAGCCCAAGGATTATGGTAGTTCCTCAAACACAGCCCTGGTACCCCGTGTCACTGCCACCCCGTGTCACTGCCACCCCATGTCACTGCCACCCCACTCCAGGGCCCAGCCCCTCCCCCAGCCCCTCCAGAGGAGACTCCAGCTGCCTCTCTTCCTTGCTACTGCCACCTCCCCTGTGGGCCTGTGCCTTCTGCCGCCCAGAACTCCCCTGTACTGGTCCCTGGTTGTGCCAGGCTTTTCTCTTTAGGCCACTCCTGGGTCTCCAGCACAATGATGGAGCACAGTGGGCACCTCGAGTACTTGGCTCTTCATGACTGTCCCTACTGCTACTCCTCCCCCCCCCCATCAGCATCCTCTGCCTTCAGCTTGAGTGCCTCCCTGATGCCAGGCTCTGCACTTGGCACTGGAGATGCATTTTGCCAGTCCTTGTTCTCAACGAGCACAGGAGACATAAGAGCTTCCTGAGCGAGTGTGAGAAGCACCACCCCAGCAGGTGGAATCAAGCGCCAGGGAAGCTCTACCTGTGGCCACTAGATCTCCTTGTCTCTTCCCTTCTCCAAGATCAGGGCCTCTGGGTCGGGTCTCTTCTCCCTCTCTTTCCCTGGTTCCTGCTTTTCTTTTTTCCTCTCTCCTGCCTCCCCCCTCAGTGGCTCCCACTTTGGGCATCTGCGGGGTCACCTCCCATGCTCCATGGGGAGCTCCTCGCGGGCCCGGGTTTCCTCCATAAGCCTGCCATCCCCTCCCTCATCTGGGGGCCCTCTTGCAGGCTGAGTTTCCCTCGGAGACCAGGGAACCAGCCCTTTGGAGGAGTGGAATGAGTGTCCCGCCCGCTCAGGCCTCGAGCTAGCCAAATCTGCCAGGGTTCTCCAGTTACAAGGAGCGAGCGAGGGGCCAATCCCGGGAGAGAGCGGTGGACGGCAGGGCTGGAGAGGTGGAGAGGCGCAGAGAGCAAGGGAGAGGACCTGCGGCGGCGGCGGCGGCGGCGGCGGCGGCGGTGGCGTTGGCGGCGGCGGATGGCCAGGAGGAAAAGGAGAGCAGGCAGGCACAGCTCCTGCCTTGGGAGGTTCTCTTCTCTGCGCACTGTCAGCCGCCTTGTCCCGAGCTGAATTAGGGTTAAGGGGAAGTCAGGGGGCGGGACAGTGACTGGAGGCCGCTCTCAGTCACCTGCCCCTCCATCCCACTTCATAGAACCCAGTGCCTCCATCCCCAGCCCCTCCTCCGAGAATCTGTCGCGCCCCGGCGCTAGAAGGGGTGAGTTGCCTGAGCCTCTACTCACGCTGAGTGTTTAGAGCTGGGGAGGGGAGGCGCATGGGGTCCTTCTGCATTAAGTGTGCAACGGTGGTGACGTGGGGTCGGTCCGTCTGCATTAAGTGTGTAACGGTGGTGAGCTCGGCTCCACGGAATTACAGCCACGGCACCCGAGCCTTGGAAACCTCAGGGCAGAAGGGGCGTCTCAGGACCTCTGGCTTCAGACTCCGCATGTCACAGCTCAGTTGCGGGGCCGCAGTGCGACTCCCCACAACGGCCCCCTTTCTAAGCTCCACTGTGGAGCGGCAGGTGCCGCAGGCTTCCCCCCCCCACCCCCCACCGCCCGCTCCGCCTCATTGGCGCTCTCGGGCCATTGGGGACCCGGGGAACAACAGTGGAGCATGGAGACTCCAGCGGCCAAGGCGCTCCCATCCAAGCACTCTGGGGTCTCCGGGGAAAGGAAGAGGGGGTACCAGGGACCGGGAGAAGGGAGAGGAGGACAGCGGAGCTCAGTCGCTGAGCTGAGCGCGGGAGGGGGGAGGGGCGGGGGCTCCCCTCTAGCCTCCGGGGTCTGGGGACTCAGGGATGTCAGAAAGAGCTGGGGGATGTAACAATCCAACAGAGGTCGGGACGTACCACGGGGCCCAGTGGCGGGGGGGGGGCAGAGGACGTGGTCACCGAGGGGAGCCCCCGCCCCCCTTCGCAGAGGCCTACAGCTGGGGTTGCGGGGGGAATTGGAACTGAGCTCGAGGTCGGGGGAGGCGGCTTGTTAAATCCGCCCCCTCCTCATACCCAACTTCCGAGGGGGAAGCGGTAGAGGGGAGGTTGGGGTTGGACCAGCGGCGAGGGGGCCCCTCCCTTGCACCTCCCCCCACCGGACTTGGTCGCGTCCGAAGTGTAACACTTTCTCTTTGTCGGAGGAGCTCCTCTCTTTCCTGTGCTGTAGCTCCCGTTGCGTCGGCGCCCGTGGCAGCCCTGGCGGACCCAGGAGCGATGGCAGCGACCGATATAGCTCGCCAGGTGGTGAGTGCGGGGCTTGGGTGCCAGCGCCCCGGCCGGGGGCCTGGGGAGGGTCGAGGAGACCTGGCTGCCGCCACCGCCGCCGCAAGGAGGGCAGTGGGCAGCATCCAGGAGCTGAGGCACGGCGGGACTTTTGCTCTTGGGTCAGCGGCTTAGTTCCCCAGCCTGTCCCGGAGAATGGTGGTGGCGGGCGGGTGGGGTGTTGGCAAAGCCTGCGGGCCGGCAGCGGAACTTAACATTGCTTAAAAGCTGCAGTGAGCGCCGCAGCCTTCCTCGCTGCAGCTGCGGCCCCACCGCTGGGGCGTTGCCGAATGAATGGCCGCACGAGTCGCCGAGCCCTCCGGGTCCCTGGCACCCCGGCCTTGCCGCGCCCCTGCGGTCAGCTGCCCGCTGGGACCCCCGCCTCCACAGGAAGAGGGGCGCGGGGCTGGGGTTAGCTTAGGGCAGAAGGCGGTGAGTGGTGAGGGGGGCGGGGAGGTGACTGGCTGGGGTAGGATTTCTCCATATGCATTACATATGTGACTGCGTCTGTGTGTGTATCGGTGTGTGCGCGTATATGTGCACGCGCGCGCACTCGTGCTTTTCCGGGCGGGCGGCGGCGGCGCCCGGGTCCTGTGACCCTAGATAAGTCTCTTGTTTCTCTCTGAGTGTGCTCACCTCTATAGCGTGTGTCCGTGTCCGAACGCCTCTCTGTAGGCTGGTGCTGTGTGCCTCTGGGTCCCATTTGTGCGTCACTGTGGGGTGCAGTTGGCTGGCCTGTAGGTGGCAGGCTACAGTATTTTGGCATATTTTTGAGCGGGTCTCCGGGGATCTGTTTCGGGTGCGTGTTCGGTGTGACTGGGCTTGTGTGCCGAAACCTGTGGAACTAGCTTCTTTCTCAGGGGACTCAGGAAAATAAGTGTGAGACTTCCCAAAGTGGTGCTGTCTCTCTTTTTGTTGGCGACCGACTCTGGGGAAATTTAAAAAAAGTCTTCATTTATAGAGCTGAAGTTTTGCAGCCTGGGATGTGCAGGGAAATCGTGTTGAAGTGCCCTGAGACACCATGTTTGTTTTTTTGATCAGAAGTTGGGTTGCAAAGGGAGATTATTCCATTTGGGGGGAACACCGTAGCTTTTCTATTCATCCATGGGTATCGGGGCTTTTAAGAAGCTCACTAGCACCTTAAGGCGAGGAAGAAGAGTGAGAAAGAGGTAGGTCAAATCCCATGACATCAAATACTACTTGATGAAAATCTCTGAACCACATAAAAATGTTTTAAAATCTTGTAGCTTACTTATTTATGGGAATAGTTCATGCAATGAAATTCCAGTGCAAAAAAAAATGCCTCTAGGTATTTGGTGTAATTGAAATTGATTTGTTTTCAAAATCTGAATCCAGAATCTGATAGTACTTGGTCTACAGGATATGTATTAATTTATTCCACCCTTTTGTCCCTGTTTAGAAAGGCAGGAACCTCCCCCACCCTCTGCACAGCCCAGCACTGAACTCTATGCAGTTATGATGTGGAAATATCAGGAGTAGATAGGAAACAATGGTGTGTGATGAAAGAATTTGAGAGAATTCTCTTCCCCCCCCCCAAGAATGGCACTGCAATATTTATTGCTTTAGTGTTTTGAGGGCTCCCAGAGTGCTTTTCTGTTCCTCGTTACCTGCATTTTAGCGATGGCATAGCTTAAGTGGAGGAATTAGTCTTCTAGATTACACTTGCTCTATCCTTAGTGAACAAAAATGACACTAATGATTTTTCTTGTCAGCTAATGAATTTTGCATCGACCTGTCCCTACTCTCTCCCCAGGTCCCCTTGCCTGGATTAGTTTCCTGCAGGGCAGATGTCGCAAAGGGGAACATTCCAGAAGGTTGTGCTTCACCTCAGGCACAACTCAGGCAACCTAGAGATCCCCTTTGTTCTGCTGATGGGGGTAGGGGGTGGCTCAAGGCCATTTGGTTTGCTTTGCATGGTTCCAGTTTGCTCTGGCTTGCCCTGCCATACTGTATGATGAAGAATATAATTGTACTCCAGATTCTGAAGCTGAAAGAGCAGCCTGAGCACTTGAGACCTTGTTATGTGATAAATGGGTTTCTGGGAAAACTGACGTCACTCTCCAAGCCCCCCTCCCCCCAGCCAGTGAAGCTCTTGTTGATGTGTCATTTGTCTCCTTTGTGTCTGCAAGAAGTTATAATTCACCAGGGGAGATGGAATTAACTCAAGAGACCTTGGATGTCTGCTTGCTGCCTGTTTCTTCCAAGGAGCAGGTATCCAGGGTTTGGGAAGAGAAGACTAGAGAGTACACCTTAGTGTGGCTAGCTTAGGAGTTCTTTTTAATGAGCTCTGAGACGTGGTGCCATGGAGTAGTGCCCTGGTGTGTGTATGGGGGCGGGGGGTGTCCTTTTCAGAGTCAGTTGAGGGTTACTGTGGCTAAACATCATTAGTGACTAAAACAGGCCTTAGAGTTGTTGGGTAGGGCCTATGTTGCATGCATGCAACTTGAAAGTTCAATTATGGTGTACATGATACAATTCCATCCAATTTAAATGAATACCACAAAAGACTATGCATGACAACATTATTTCTCCACTATGTCTATGAGTATTTATTTAACTGATTGATATGTGTCCAGCATGTCCTTGTCAACTACACCCAAAAAAGTAGTAGACATAGTTCATGGCTTTGAAACTTACAGTGTAGTTAAATAGACAAAGTGTGGGCACTGAATTAGAGAACTATAGAAGATCTTTGAGCTGCTCCCCTCCACCCCCTGCCCATGAGGTGGCTTGGGTGGTGTTAGGGTGGAAAGCCTAGTAGGTGCTCAGGGCACAGGTGGAGAAAGATTTCTCATGAAGAAATTAAGATATATAAAAGTAAAAGAGGTTTTTTTTATCTTCCTTAGAAGAGAGAGTGAGTGAGATAGAGAGAATGAAAGAGAGGGGGAAGAAAGAGAGCAGAGAGATGGCAGTGGCATCCCAAAGAAAGGGAAGGGGGGTGTCAGCAGCGAGGCCAAGTGGCCTGCTGGTTTTATGAGGACAAAGAGAAAGGAAAAAAATAGTAATTGTTGTGGAATAATTAGCAGGCAGCTGTGAGACAACAGGTTGTCCATCTTTCTTGCTTCTTCTCTGTTCCTGGAGACTTGGTTATTTCTGAAATGGAGTCAGGCTATTGCAGGGGATTTGATTTTGCCCCTGAGATGTGGTTTGGGGCAGGACACTAAGGCTTAGTGTTTGCTCCCCTGCTGTCCTTCTGGGAGCTTCTCAGGAACACCTTGAGGCTATAAAACAAATTCTAAAAGCAGTTTCCGGCAAGAGAAAGATATACATTTCCTTTCTCTCTCTCTGCTCTTTTCTGATGTTTGTGACAATGGAACCCTGCAGGTTGCCTGCCAGCTTGGGAGAGACAGTAAGGAGAGCTCAAGATTGATCTTTAGATGTTGTTAGGAAATCACAGGATTAGATATTTTCCTGTTATTTCAGCAAGGCCACCCTTTCAGGTGGCTTGGGCTGCTATTATATATACTCTGAGAGGTTATATGATTTGACCAAGATAACCTAGTGAGACACAGTATAGGCCCCAAAAGCTGCATCTCCTGGCTCTTGCACTGAGCTGTTTCTTTCAACATTGCACGCTGGAGTCCAGAGTGTAAGTGCTGGCCCATTGAAAGAATATCTCATTGATTCTGGCTTGAACTGATCCCACAGTGTGAACAATGATGCCTCTCCAGTAGCAATCCAGGTAATAATGGTCATTCTCCCAAATGAAAGAACTTGCAGGGGCTAACTGTGCCCTACAAAGTTAGTGTGTATGGGCTGGTGTTATCCTGGGGAAACTGTCCCAAAGCAACTGCCTACAGGTGGGGAGAAGATTCAAAACCCCAATATTCACCTAGCTGTATAGAGGATACTGCACTATAGAAAGTTTGCATGGCCCCAAATATTAAAAATATTGAATCTAAGTTGAGAGTATGTTGGTTATCATTACACTACTTTCCAACTTTTCTGTGTGTTCGAGATTTTCCAAAATAGAAAGCCGAGGGAGAATTACAATGCCCTCCCCCAAATGCACATGGCCCTTCCCTCAAGGAGTTTACAATCTAGTGGTGGAGGCAGACACAAATAACTATATAATTATCACAGTGATAAGTGCTACACAGGAGAATAGCTGCCTGCCATGAGAAGTCACTACAAGGGGACCTGATCCATCAGAGTGGATGGGAGTGGAGGGTGACAGGAAAGGCTTCCTGAGGGCCATCAAATAGCAAATGGGCAGATGAGAAGATGGTTGAAATCTCACTTCTGCTACTGGGTTGGGAACATTTCATTTGCTAATTCATCCACTTTTATTTTCATTCATTCCCTCAGCACATGTTTATTGGGCACCAACTCCGCCAGGCCCTGTGCCAGATTCTGGGGATATAGTGGTGGCCCAGGCACACAGGAACTCTGTCCTCTTAGAGCTTCCAGATGTGAGCAGGAATAAGCCCTGTTTCCTCTTCACATCCTAAATCCTGGAAATGTGAGTGCTAGTGATGTTCTTATTACTAAACTGCATTACAGCAGAGTGATTTGTCAGTATAGTATAATGAGATTTTGATCTGCAATCATGTGCATAGCATTTACTTCGTGAAGTCTCTGCTGTAAATTTTCTATTAATTGCTGGCTTTGTTACCCAGCACAGCCCCTGCCTTTGTGTGCTATAAGGGAATAAACCCATTGCATTAACCTGGGAAAAACTAATTAGGAAGATAAGTCCCCTGGAAAAAGGTATTCCCAATCTAAATAGGACTGATCTCAGGACTTGCCTGCTTTTCTGGATGATCAGAGCTGTGGTTTAATACTAGCCAGGCATGGTGGCTTATGCCTGTAATCCCAGAGATTCAGGAGGCTGAGGTGAGAGGATCGCTTCAGGCCAGAAGTTTGAGACCAGGATGGGCAACATAGCGAGACCTCATCTCTAAAAATAATGAAAAAAACAAAACAAAACAAAAACGGGGCATGCTGTGTGTGCCTGTAGT